GATGTCCTCCCCTTGGGTGGGATGGTGGGTTTGTTGTGAAGGCTGTAAGTTAGATAACTCATTGGGATAATTACGTCACCTTCGTTAAATAAAGAATATTGTATTGTGTTGTAAAAAAATATTGAAATAATAAATAACAAAAAAAAAAATAAAGAAATTAGAACACTGTTACAGAACTGTTTCACACGGCTATTCAGAGTAATTCCTCTGCATAGTTGTCTGTGGAAAATCAATCAATCAGTCGATCAGTCAGTCAGTCAGTCAATAAATTGAAATAGAGCTTGTCAAACGTCTATGAAATTCTTTTGATCCCCATCTTTTCTTTCCCCTTCCAATCTATCTAATTTGATAATGACCGTAATGTCCTTTAAAATTTTGTTTATAAAGTCTCCTAAACCTACAGCCCTGGAGTAGGCCCGTATTCTTAACGGTGCAGGAGACGGATTTCAATTCTCCGCCTGAGAGAGGATTTGAAACGAGGTTTGCCGAAGGTCTGGCACTAATAATCATTAATATTATACAGCTGTACATTAGATTTATTTTGAAAACTCTGATTGGTCGGGACCATACAGTCACTATACAGTAGCAATTAAAGTTGACTTGATAACACAATATCTACAGCAGATATTGGGGTTATTACGTCGAGTTCAAAGTCTGCCTAGTTTCAAAGTTCCTTGTCAGTGAAGTACTCTCAAACTTTTTCCAACTCAGAGAGAAGTGTCCTCTTTCGCAGATTGTTTGAAAAATGTATAACGCATGATATCATGAATTATCAAACCCCGTGTCTGTGTCATCTGCCTCAACCTTCAGCTTCGGCAGATAACTCAGACCTCACTAATCGATAATTCATGATATCATGCCCAAGCCAAGAGAATAATCTCTTATCGCAAACTCATCAAATAATTGCTTTTTATCAGGGCTAGACCTTTTGCAGACCTCTTGCTAGCTTGCTTCAAGCTCAAGGCCTTACTAATTTTCCCACAGGGAAAGTAACGCTCGTGCTAAAACGCCACTATCGCGGTTGGTTAGATGTTTTTTAGTTATGATTTTGCATCCCTCTACATCATTTTTCTGTTCTTAAAGTCTTCTTTCGATTTTTTCACTCACCTTTAAAACCTTTAAAAAGAAGAAGGGAAGGATACCCAGTCAAAGACAAGTGAAATCAGCGGGAAGCAAGAAGGATGCAAGGACGATGCATTTTTGCGAAGGAACTGGTACTTAGAAGGAATGGTTACCTAGTCTTATTATCTTATCCGCCAGTTTGAGTTGGTCAGCATTAGATTCCATCCACCAAAACCACCTCGGTCGAGAGGGACTGAGGTGGAATACTTAACAACTTGCAAATCATAACCGAAGATTCTCGGAAATCCGCGCGTAGACATAGCCGAACACCCGAAGAACAAACATAAACAATATGGCGGGAATTTTAAAGCGTGAACAATTTGCCTGATGGTAGAGATGCGGATAATTTTGGATACGTAAATT